TATTTTTAACCTGCATGAAAAACCACTGCTTATTAAATGCATGACCAATTTAATGAATGAGATATCGATTGTCGTTATAGCTCCTCTACCACTAGTCTTCAATGACGTAATAAAACGACATTAAAAGCATACTATTTGCCATGCATTCTAACTAATTGCAACGAGGCAGTTGAACGCTGCGTCATCAACACAACACAATCGAGTTACTAGGCACCAAATTAATAAATGAAATGTACACTGCTGGTATTAAATAAATTACACTATTTTGATATTTTGAGTTTATTCACCAGGTTTTAATTTAATGTATTTAAAAATAAAACAATGAGTTCTATTGTAATTTCATAGGGATAAATTCAGTGGATTTCAATATACAGGCAAAAATGTAATAAAAAAATGTACATTATAAAAAAAGAAATAAATTTCTATACGAGACAAAAAAGGGTTATATACGAGCCACATGTTTGTGACATACACGATACTTGATTATACTGACATGGGGGGGGGGAAGTTACAAATTATATATAAAAAAAAAAATTTTGTAAAAATATAAAAACAAAAAACTTTTTTTTTTCATAACAACATGCCACTGCAAAAATAATATTAGCATGTTATATTAATGTACGATAGAGGGATAACCCTCTGTGCCCACTGCCAAAGGTGTGGCAAGTGAGAAATTACATTGCTCAACCTTTGAGCTTACATAACAAATAAACTGCTTGCCATACTGCATACTGAATAAGATGACTCAGTTGGATCAGCAAAGGTTACAAGTATCATTTTCCATGAACTGGGCACTCAATTTAGCAATCATCAGCCTATACTGTGATGTGCGCCCTCTATGCCCACACCATGGCTCGAACACAGGTATACGAGTATGCAGTGATGACATCAAATCTAAGATGATATCATATGATAAGCTTCCATCTATACAATGTATGTACATGCAAGACTTGACCTTAGGTATTGTCAGCGAAACTTGGTAGAAAGCCTTTTACAGTTTTGCGTAACATCACCAAAAATTGAATTCGAGAATTACAGAATTGGTGAGTTATACTGATTGAAACCAGATATATAAATCATACTTTTATCGACTGAGTTATTTACTGTCTTCACTACAATGAATTGCGTCATGCACTGCTATTTGAATTCTGTTTGGCTAAACACAACTAGCTAGGAAGTATGTACCATTTGATTTTCAAAGTTCACTCAAACATAGCGGTAACATGAGTCAAATAATCCATTCTATAAATTCAAATAAGGAAAGGACCTAATCTCTCAGACTAATCTGAATGGGAAATGCTTCACATCAAATATTGGTATTGTAATATAGTCTATCCTCAAATGCCGAACAGAGAATCCCAAGTGGATTCAGTGAATTGATGACACCCTAAAGATGCTAAAAATTCAATCACAATTGTACTGCTCAGTAACGTTCGGCTATTAGCAATACAGACTGGGGGAATACCCCAACTGTTGTACTCATTACAGTAAACACATTATTTAACATTAACTTCAAACTCAATTTTGTCAACAATAAAGATTTAAAAGGGCATTCACCCATTTTCAAAACCAAAAATAAAAAAAATGTCTTTGTAAGGAATTGATGTGTTGACTCAGGAACACACAAAACATCAAAGAAACCTAAGAGCTTGCAAGTTTAACTTCTTGTTTATTCCGCCATTTTCAATTACCTCTAACGGCACTACTTTTTACATATCAATACACTCGGGTGATCAGGTGACATATAACCATTACAAAAGTATGTATTTTGACACATGCAATAAAGTAGTCCCCAAAACGTCACAGGAATAATATATGCAATATTAATGGGCATCAAGGTAAACTTGTTGGGCATCAAAGAAACTGACCCCAATACCTTTGTGAAGTTCATGTACCAGTATATGTAGTGATGACATCAATACAAGATCATATCATCAGTCGTGACGTGTCAAAGACGAGCTGAATAAAGCTCTATATATCGTGTTGACATTAAATATGAAATTCACTTGCTAGTTTTCTGACAGCTTGGTTTGTCAGACTGGCCGGTGTTAACGAAGAGCTTAATTAAGATGTTTCTCAAAATTGCAGATTGATACTATAGCTAATGCAAACATAACATATGCCAATCACCCAGCAGCTTCATGTCAAAAAGCCAACAACTAACTGGTCATTTAAATCTAAATATGTCAGCCAATTTGCAAGCAGGTGCAATATTTCCGAGTCTTTCTGGTTGACACACAAAACAATCACGCATCTATGTATTTATACATAATACATTCAAATTCTGTCAAAAAAACAAACATACCCTTAAATGCTGCTGTGTAAAAATGGAAATACCCACCCACAATTTCCTCATGTTGAAATAAGAGGAGAGCATATTTATTTTATAAATTTGCGGAATCATGGCAGACATTTTGAAATTTTTCTGTTTTTTGATCATTGTTTTCTTTGGTAATATCATTTTGCCATGTCCAAAAATTGACTCATTTAATTTTTGACTGAGAACTTAATACACTTGTAAAACATGAGAAATTGCTAAACATAAAATAATAGTTGTCATCTATTTTCATGATTTCTTTTTTTTTTAATATTTGAATTATTAATAAACAACAAAAATGTGTTTTACTAGTAATGATCATGGAAAATAAATTTTGCATTACTCAGCATGTTATCGTGCACATGTGCAATGCATTATGGGAGATAAATTGCCATTGTATTTATTTTTTTTCAACTTTGGTATTCTAATGCCAGACATAATCTTCAATTCAGTATAAGCGTCCTAAAATGAACAGTATGGTCACACCTGTAAACGTTGATCTGTTTTAAACGTACCTACACGCACTGTATAGTTCATTTCAATGCAACATCATCATGGCACCAAAGGTGACTGCTCTTGATCAGTCTATCATAACTGTTGTGCAATATAATATACCGGGTACACATTATCTTTGGGCAAGAGACTACACACTAAACACAAATGTATGTGCAAAGTTAAGGTTTCACAGCCATACAACTTAATAAATGAGAAGGAAAAATGTTCTTTTTCTTTTGGTTCAAAAGAGTTACATACATGCAGTTGGTTTAAAAATAAGTCACAATTTTTTTTTCTTTTTTACCCAGGGTAATAATAATAATGAATTTATTGCATCCTTAGAAATAATTCCATTGGTTGACAGCAATAAAATATTAGTAATAAAGTACAATACATCGAAAACTAAAGTGTATGAAATATATTGTAAATTGTGAAAAAATATGCCTATTTGGAAATATTGCCATTGAAATTCATGTTATTAATTATTTCATAAAAAAGTACCCATCTTTATAATAACGTATGATTTTTTCACATGTTTCTGAATGAAATTTTGAGCTATTAACCTTATTACCATAGTAACCAATGGTAAATTGCTCTAAAAAGTCATTTTCATGGGTGTTCGATTGACTCATTTTTTGTATGAAAAGTAGTC